TTGAGATTAATGTGATTTTTCAAAAATCAAGTGATTGTTTTTAATTTTCACATTACACCTGATCCTGTCCTCTGATTAGCCAGAATCGTGAAACCTGTGATAAAATTAGTAAATGCATATAATTAAGTGCCCCGATCTCAGATCAATTACATAATCTCACGTGCACAAGTTCTTATTATAAACGAATTTATTTATTATTATATTATCTTGAGTTCTATACAAAGAACAGATAAGTTAACTATTGGAGTTAAATTGTGCTCAAAATAATAGTAACAGTATATACGATAATACAAAATATAAATTGATAATCATCTAATTTTTTTTTATTTGTTGATCTGATCTTTTTTTTTATAATATTGAGCATCATGTTACCACTCTATTTGGTGCATTTGTTTCGTCGTTACCAGAGTTGTTAGTCTAGCTCGCATAGTTTGTGAATGCGTTACTAATGCCTCTTTTTTTTCTAAGTTTTAGGACGGCTTTGAACTTTTGGAAATTGTAAAGTATTTATCTTGGAAATCTGGGAAACCTGGGATGTATTACAGTAATCGTTATTGTTTTTTTTTTTTTTTTTATTAGTGAAATATTTTGATGCCAGCACAATCATGTCCCGATTTGATCTATTTTTGTAGTACTAGACGAATACAAACTGAAAATAGATCAGATGATAGCTGAACATATTGTAGAAATTCACAGAAGAGATGATGACAATATTAATCTACCCTATGATACTGAAACACTTCAACGATATATTCTCTGTGCAAGAACTTTCAAACCGAAGGTTTGTAGTATATAATGTACAAATATTTATCATAATGCCATATTTTGACAGTTTTTTTTTTTCCTCAAGATTCTAAAAGATTGTTAGTTGAAAAACATAAATAACTGCGTCAAGATGATAATTCTAGCGCAGCACAAAATTCCTGTTAGGCAATTAGAAAGCTTGGTACGATTGTCTGAAGTTATTACAAAGGCTCATTGCAAGAATGAAATAGGCTGGAATTGTAGCAATGGATTTTTAGTTAAAAAAATGATTTATTTATTTTATATAGGTAATTCTGGATTTTGTGAACGAGGTAGCTAAACTTATACAACAATCTATAATTCATTGTCATGATGACGTTGTGTTAAGAGTAGAGTGATCTGTACGGGTAAAAAAATTTGGCATGCTATTCCTAAAATTTGCGCCTGGCATGCCACCATGGTCATGCTATAGGTTTAGATTATTTGTTATACAAAAACCATATGTTAAAAAACTAGATGTAAGTGCTTTTTAAATTCTATCTCTTGTATATTGATTTATGATATTGTGTTATTTGATAATTATTAAATAAGCATTGATATCGATATATTGCTTAAATCATATAATTG